TCCTTAAATCGCTCTCAGTTAGAATTCAACACGTCTCTCATGATCGTAAATCTCACTGCTCAGCCTCGTGCACATATTAAATCTAAATCAATATGTCTATATTTCTGATATTAGGTATTAAAACTATTTACATTGTTTGGAATGTTGCCCCCAATGTCCAGTGGATAAGAAACGTTGGTTGAAGCAATCCAGTGACTTAACCCAATGAGTTGTCAGTTTAATAGTGATTCAGTGACTTGACCCAATGTGTTGTGAGTTTAATAGTGATTCAGTGACTTGACCCAATGTGTTGTAAGTTTAATAGTGATTCAGTGACTTGACCCAATGTGTTGTGAGTTTAATAGTAATCCAATGACCTGGCCCAATGTGTTGTGGGTTTAATAGTGATTAGGTGACTTGACCCAATGTGTTGTGAGGTTAATAGTGATTAGGTGAATTGACCCAATGTGTTGTGAGTTTAATAGTGATTCAGTGACTTGACCCAATGTGTTGTGAGTTTAATAGTAATCCAATGACTTGACCCAATGTGTTGAGGGTTTAATAGTGATTAGGTGACTTGACCCAATGTGTTGTGTGGTTAATAGTGATTCAGTAACTTGACCCAATGTGTTGTGAGTTTAATAGTGATTAGGTGACTTGACCCAATGTGTTGTGTTTTTAATAGTAATCCAGTGACTTGACCCAGTGTGTCGTGAGTTTAATAGTGATTAGGTGACTTGACCAAATGTGTTGTGGGGTTAATAGTGATTCAGTAACTTGACCCAATGTGTTGTGAGTTTAATAGTGATTAGGTGACTTGACCCAATGTGTTGTGAGTTTAATAGTAATCCAGTGACTTGACCCAGTGTGTCGTGAGTTTAATAGTGATTAAGTGACTTGACACAATGTGTTGTGTGTTTAATAGTGATTAGGCGACTTGACCCAATGTGTTGTGAGTTTAATAGTAATCCAGTGACTTGACCCAATGTGTTGTGAGTTTAATAGTGATTCAGTGACTTGACCCAAAGTGCTGTAAGTTCATTACCTGATCACAGCTGCGGTGAACAAACTTCAAAAAGTTGAATTACTAAGATGAAATAACTGAAAGAGGAAGGGGCATGTCAGATGAACTAAAACAATCTACTACAAGATTGGTCGAAATAAAGCGATCGATTCGAAACTCCAAACCCCTGAAGAAGGCTAGGGTGTACAGCCGCCGAAACATAGTGAATAGGACAAAAAAGACAATTGGAACAACAGTCCGAACAATTTAAACAACTCAAATAATATATAAGTAATGATTGAATTTGAAAAACCACTAGAAAATATATGTTCCTCCAAAGAATTGGTGGCAGTTTTTTGCGACCTGGTCATTTATCAAAATAAATATATTGCTTAAATATAAAACGCTTTCTACAGCACAAGGGAGATTAGTTTCAAGAAAACAATCGCATACAAAATTAGTTTATTTTGCAAGAGTTGCTACCGAGAAAGTTGATGCGAATGAAATGAAAGGAGATTTTAAATAATCTTTTTCATATTTTTTTGAAGGAGAAAAGAACTAACTGAAGAAGTTGAATGTAAAAAAAAAAACGAAATATAAAAAAATAAGTTAAATGAGAGAAAATATTGATAACACGAGACGCTGTAGAATGACAAAGGAAAACAAAAGAATTCAAGTCTGAAAGGATCAAAAGTAATGATGGCAATATGGAAGAATCGGTGATCTGGTTGATCTCACCATGAAGAATCAGCAAGCATGAAATAATTTTAATATTTGCCTCAAGGTTAGATAACATAATCTCAAGTAAATCTCCTTGAAAGAAAAGTTCCTCTAGTCTTATATGGTTCTTCTTTTTTTTCTTCTTCTATTTCTTTTTCTTCTTCTTCTTTTCTTTTACTTCTATTTCTTCTTCTTCTATTTCTTCTTCTATTTTTTCTTCTTCTTCTTCTTCTTCTTCTTCTTCTATTTCTTTTTTCTTCTTCTTCTTCTCTTTCTTCTTCTTCTTTTTCTTCTTCTTCTTCTATTTCTTTTTTCTTCTTCTTCTTCTATTTCTTTTTTCTTCTTCTTCTTTTTCTTCTTCTTCTTCTATTTCTTTTTTCTTCTTCTTCTTTTTCTTCTTCTTCTTCTTCTATTTCTTTTTCTTCTTCTTCTTTTTCTTCTTCTTTTTTCTTCTTCTTCTTCTTTTTTCTTCTTTTTCTTCCTCTTCTTCTATTTCTTTTTTCTTCTTCTTCTTCTTTTTCTTCTTTTTTCTTCTTCTTCTTTTTCTTCTTCTTCTTTTTTCTTCTTTTTCTTCTTCTTCTATTTCTTTTTTCTTCTTCTTCTTTTTCTTCTGTTTTCTTCTTCTTCTTTTTTCTTCTTCTTCTTTTTCTTCTTCTTTTTCTTCTTCTTCTTCTTCTTTTTTCTTCTTCTTCTTCTTCTATTTCTTTTTTCTTCTTTTTCTTTTTCTTCTTCTTCTTTTTCTTCTTCTTCTTTTTCTTCTTTATCTTTTCTTCTTCTTCTTCTTCTTCTTCTTCTTCTTCTTCTTCTTCTTATTATTATTATTATTATTATTATTATTATTTTTACCTGTCCACCCTGCCTTCAGTATATCCTGTGAGTGTCAAATTCCCCAAGTCCACTTTCCTAATGATTAAACCTAGGTATTTCAACTGTTTCTTTCTGGTGTTACCTACAGATGTGTTTTTCTTTTCAGTTTCCATAAAACTTTACTCACATGTTCAGTTCTTGCGATTATCTACATTTCTCTGTAGATATCCATTTAAGCTTTAATCTGCAAATATTTAAATGCAATGATAATAGTTAAATACTATCCTCCTGGTTACTCTTTCCTCGTTCAGCTCATTATTAATGTTTCTGATTCTAATTTATCCACATCCTGCAAATCCCTTGTGTCTTAGTGACATTACTGCCTTACATGAAGTGATACCGATTAAAAAATACTAGAAATCTTAAATCCGCTTATCATTGGGACCTATAGTTTTAGGAAGATAAACCTCACAATGCCTTTGAAGATGACGGTAATATATACTAATTCCGCAAGATTCCACCCAGATTAATTAAGTGTTTTTGACTGATTAGAAAGAATAATTGTAGTGTTATCGCTGACAAAGCGTTCTTCAGACAAAATATTAGAGGAAAATGAGACAAATATTTACAGGTTAAGAGATATGAGTGAGGACAGTGGTGTGAATTTTAGAGACGATGCGATAGGGCATCTTTTTACAAGTGAACTGGCATCTTATTACTAATCATTATACAATTTTGATCTTTCTATCGCTAGAACTATGACAAATATCCCAAAGAAATTCAATATTATTACAACAAGCTCAGAGTTCATTATACATGGAAATATGGAATAGAAATTTAACTTGTAGTTATCTATATATTCCAAGCATCTGGCCTGAAAAAAAGTGAAGATCTCATTTCAGAATACAAAAGCTAATGTTTGCATATCAAAGTAAATCTCAGTACATGACTTGTGAGCCACTCAAGTTCCGGAGTTACAAATAGAATGGTTATGATGAATCAGGGGAAATATGAGTAAAAAAAAAGGGGGCGATGGAGTGGAAATTATGAGGATAACGAGGAATGATAAAGATTAACCACTGATCTTATTTAGCGTTCATAGCTGAAGTATTTGATTCCTTCAATACCTTTGCTGCTTTGCTCATATGATAAGGGGCTCCATCTTTTTGGAAAGGTTAGACACCCTTGTCAATCTCATTGGTTTTAAACAGTGGGAATATTTAACTGTATTTTGGACTATTCAAGTGCTCGTAAACAGGAAACAAATCAGATTTCCCTCCAAACCATATAGCGCCCCACACCATTAATCTAATCCCTTCATGTTTCATGTTTCATGTTCGCCTATAAAATTCAGTGTTCCAAGTCTCATTCTGATTTCTCCAAACCGAAATCTGTCCTGAATTAGAATATTAGCAGAGTTTACTATCATCTAACCAAATTACAGACTTCCTAAATTCATAATCTTTACTCTCGAATTCTCTGGCCCATTTCATATGCCTGCTTCTGTTAACCTCTGAAATCAAAGACTTCTTTCTTGAAACTCCTCTTTGATAGCCGAGCTCTTTCAAAGTCTTTCTCATCGCATATGGCGGCATTTTCATGCGGTTAGCGATATCTTTAAAGGTCTGACGACGGTTGCTGATGACTTCCCTTTTCAGTGTCCTTTTCTCTCACTCAGACATGATGCTTGGTCTTCTTGAACGTTGTTCCACTCAACAATGACCTTCTTCATCAAATTTCTTGACAATATTATTAACCATTTGATGATTAACCTGGAAAAACCTAGCAATTTCTCTATTTGATTTGCCAAACTGATGCCATCCTATTATTTGACCTTGTTGAAATTCACCAATTTCCTTACATCCACGAACTTTCATTGCAAAATGTAAGTAATCTATTGTTCATAGATGAGATAGCTTGATACTAACATCGTATTGTCTGAAAAAAAAAACAGTCGACGTTATTACACAAATCAAAATTGCTGTCATCAAGGGTGGCTAAAAACGTATCATAGTCTACTTTATATGAGTTATACTTAAGTTCTGCAGCGAACAAGAAACAGAATAGACGTTCAAATATGGAGCCTCATTGAGATTACAGACGTTCGTCTATTTGGAAAAAACTCAGGGTCTGATCGATAGTAATTGTTTTTTTTTTCTGTAAGGAATGTTAAAATGATCAAGTTATTTTGCTTACAATTAATTTAACGCCGATTAAATATATTCTTATTGTTGATTCGTTGTTTTTGTTTAGCGGCATATCAAGTTTATTTTATAAGCAGTTTTTGTATTTTATTTTTTTGACATAATAATGGCTTTAGTGATAAAAATCTTACTAATTAAGCTATAGCTGTAGGAAGAAGAGGTGGGCTCATACTTTCACAAGAGAATTTGCGTGTAAGTGAATATAACAAAGGCAAGTGTTATTGAAACTCGACTCTCCGATTAACAAATCCAATCCATATTCCATTACACCATTCTCACATCGAAGTTTACAGCACCTGGTATTCTCAAACGGTCACCCACCTAGGTACTGACCAGGTTCGACGTTGCTTTACTTCGGTGATCGTACGAGAGCCGGGGGGGGGGGGTTAAACGGGATGTGGACGTACGCCCTTATTTTTCTTGAATCATTAAATTTGTAACTTCATTAATATTGAACTATTTTACGGGTGAATATTTTTACGACAGTCAAGACTAAATTTTAAAAATATAACTCTTTAAATACCACGTGTATTATCATGATTATCGTAGATTATCGCGATTATTACGATTATCGTGTATTATCTTGATTATAGTTCAACGATGTTGCTAATCGACAAATATGCTGTTTCGGTCGCCCTCACTACTCCGACTCGCCAGACAAAATACATTGTATTCGATCGGCTGTCTTAAGTCGATATGTTCATCGCTGTGCAGTTATGTCTCCTGTAATTGGTGAGTCTGACATTGTGCAGCCTTCGGCAAAGGGGCGGGGCAGAGTGTAGTGAGTCAAACTGCTCGGTACATTTCACTGCTTGACCCGGTAAAAATAGGCGCCGGCCATCATATATCACCAACATTTCAGTTGTTATAAATCTCGTCTGACGCCATTTTACCCGACATCATCGTCATGAAGCAAAAAAAAAAAATCTTCACATTTATTTACCCTCTGTGTCCTATTTCCAAATATCAACTCCGACAAAAATAAAACAATCAAGATTGCAATAATAAAATTAGGGAATGATGTTAATCATTAATATCCCATAATTCAAGCGTTCTTATTTTCTTTTCTTTTATCAATATTGTTTCCTTCTTTATTTACATCAACAAGATTTTTAAAATAATCAAATTTGTAATTCTCATATTAATAATAATGAAACAGGATGAAGAGGACCTCGCTCGAGATAGTACAGCATATTAAATTTTCATAGCTATAATAATACGACTGAAAATGTGTTGTAACATGAGTATCAAGACTGAATCGATTAAAGATCCGAAGATTCGACAGAAATACAGAAAAATACGTTAAACGTGCGGACACTCGTACACATCAGTTTTAGCTTCAACAGGTTTTTACCGAAATGAAAAGAGATAAAGAAACATGATCTTTATTGAGAGTAGTTGGAAAGTTTAACTTACAATCCTGGACAGTCTATGACGATAAACTACATCCGACATCAAGCCCTCTCTCCGGGAGGTTTTGAGGAATATGGAACCACCTCTTAATTGCTCTTGTTCACAGGTCCATCCTAACCCGAGGTGCTAGCAACTGTTAGGGTCCCATGCATTGGCAAATAGTGAACCACCCAAACTGGGGTCAAAACCCTATGAAAGTATAAAAATCCATGCTTACAGCATATGACATTCCCAAGCGGTCACCTATCTAAGTACTGACGAGGCTCGACATTGTTTAATTTCGTTGATCTTACGGAAAATGAAACTGTAACATTTTGTGACCGTAAACCTCCACGGGGTTGAATCATCCACATTTTCTCCGCGCTTCAAAGTATCCGAAGAATATTCCATACAGACAGCATTATTCCAAGAACCACCACTTCAATGCAATCATCATCAATCTGACTGTAACTCTTTAATCTTTGAATATCTTACGAGCCATGTACGAAGCCAAATTGTAAGAAAAAAAATCCGAAAACCTCCCAAGAGAAGCGATCTCAGAGTTACTTAAAGTGATGTTGGTCTCATTGCTTAAAAGCATTAACAGTGTTCTTGGACATTTAAATTATATATCACTTCTATTTCCTTTTGCAACAAATTGTAAAATTTATTAACAAAGTTTTTCTCTTCGCTATCTCATGTTTATGTGTGTGTATGTATATGTGTGTATGTTATCGGATGTTGTTTATGCGTTTCTACAGTTTTCATCAGATTATTATGAATTTTTTTTTTTTTTTTTTGTTTTGTTTGATAGATAATTCTTCAGTGCCGGTTTTGAGTCCAAATTGGCTGGAAAAAATTACAATCTTGAAGGTGAAAAATTGAAAATACTGATTTGTTTACTCTTTGGGCAAAAATCTAAAGCAAAATTTAATGTCTGTAAAAAACAGCGTACTGAGAGAACTTAGATAGTTGAAATCGAACGCAAAAGATTATTAGAATTATAAAAAAAAACATTATATTATAAATAAAAATTATTGTATATTATTATTATGAGGGTCCATGGAAGAGGTTCCTTCCTTGCAAGATTGAGAACGCGAAAACGGCTCTTTTCATTCAAATTGTTAACCCCACTATTTGGGGATAGGCTTCAGCTGCACCCAAATGTTGTTATTAATATTTATTTTCCGGTGGGATGACTTTAATCTTAAACTGCTCCAACTGAATGGCAAAAATTCCTAGTAATGAAACGGTCGGTCGGAGAGAGGTTATACTGCTAGTTTTCGCTATGACTTCTTATTTTTCCGTAGCTTTATATCATCCCGTTACTTTCTTTTCTAAAATGTCCGCTTCTCTTGTGATTTATTTACTTTCTACTTTATCGCATTTTCGAACACCATATATTATTACATCTATACCGTTTTCTCCGCTACTGATAAGTCGTTTTTATCAGTTATTTAACCATAACTGTTATTAATAATCATATATTAATCATGAAAACTGAGTGCTATCTCTGAAAATCAAGTGATCAGAAATCACTTCAAACGCCAAGCACTTATCACAATATTATTTGTCATTGGTCTGTTGTGAATCGGTTACTTACATCCATTTGCTTTTATTATCTTTTCTTTGCAAATTTCCAGGCAAGCGTTACCAGATGTACCATGATTATTGGCACGACAATCAATACAGTATTTACATTAGTCGGACTATTGTCGCCATATTTGTCACAACGTTTCGGCCGTTGTACGCTCCGGCCTTCTTCAGGTGGTTGGAATTTCGAACTGAACCCTTTATTTCGATCACTGGGGTAGACTGTTCTAGTTCCACGTGCCATGTTTGATGGATGTCAGTTATCAGTTATCTCCTGCTAATTTTCCCTCTGAAAGTTCTCCACTGCCTTAACCAGGAATTGAACTCACCTTCTTTGGGTCTGTCACTGGATCTAACCAATGCCTTTATCCACTGAGCCATGTGTCCTTGAGGCCGAAACGTTGTGACAAATATGGCGACAAAGATGAGGACAATAGTCCGACTAATGTAAATACTGTACATAATACCTCATCTCAGAAATATTGACAGACGACCATCAATGTTTGTAATTTTATATCTTGTTATTTAACAAGATCTTTTTCAGAGTGGTTTTTCGCTCCATCAGTTGTAATCTTCATTTCGCTTAAGTGACTATACATATTCTCATTAAGTTAATTTTTCTTTCTTTACAATGACATTCTTGTCGCCTAAATTGGGCGATATTTCTTGAGTGAATAGCAAGTACGGTTTTGATTCATTTTATGTAGAGTTTCTGTTTTGTCATTCATCGAGTTAAGCCTATGATTCGTTAAGACCACATTTCGAACAGCTAAAATATATACCCCATGGAATTCAAAAAATAATAAAATGATCAAGATGTTGATATTCAAGATTACTTGAAATAAAAGGTTAAGAAGGAACCCACCTGTAAAGCAGAGCGATAGCAGATACTAAAGTTAAGAAAACTATTTTCTTGAAAAAACATTTTTTAAAGAGAAAGGATTTATAAATTTCAGCCGACTGTAGAAACTTTACATTAGAAATGGCTTCATGACAGTTTCTACTGGGCATAGTTTGGAAAAAAATTAAATAAAAAAAAAAGATCGCACTCATTTTTACACAGATAAATATCTTCGTAATAAGGGAACTGTATTTGTGAATACAATATTTGTATTTCTTTAAAACGTGGGCTAACAGGAGTCCCTTCAATTAGTATAACGATACCTTTTCCAATGAATGTCATGGCTCCAACTACAGCTAAAATTATTTATGTCCTCCTGTGCCACATTTTTGAGGCTTTCAATTCAAGACGTTTGTAATTTATAGATTTTAAAGATCTTTCAAGATACTTTTCTGTTTTTGTAGTATTTAATCACGATATCTGAGCGATTAGCTATGATTGTTTTGTCTATGCGAATTGTAAAGTTCCATAAAAATGTTAAAAGTCCTATCTCTCTAACCGAGTCTGGGTGATCTTAATACCAGTGTCTTGCGGTTTCCTTTCTTCATTATTATTATTATTAGTAGTAGTAGTAGTAGTAGTGGTATGCTATGTTTTCTGCTCTGTACCCAGTAGAGCCGGGTCCAAACTATGGTACTTCGGCGCAGGAGGAGAATTGCCATTTTATTGATAGCACTTTTCTTAGTATATGGGATGTTCCTAGTAGGTCGCTGTTAAAATTTACCATTCCATTTCTCACAATTCCCAGAGCTCTGATTACTTCTGGTACAGTCTCTGTCTTCATTTCCCACATTTTGTTAATCTCAAACTTCAGGTCCTTGTATTTGGACAATATTTTGAACATTTTATTGGGGTCTTTCTTTCAGATGGTACAGCTATGTCAATAAGCATACACTTCCTGAATTCGTTTACTTTTATGATAATATCATGCATTTTGGCTTTTATTTCTCTGTCAGTTTGAACTGGTATGTCCAAGAGGATAGTTACATCGTTATTTTGGGTGACTATGTCTGGTTGATGGTCATACTATTTCTCAGTGGTTTCGATTCTGTGCTTCTTGTATAACTTCCCGTGCACATATGTCACTATTATTATTATTATTATTATTATTATTATTATTTTCTTTGATTTCTGGCGTTTACACATTTCTTTCCGGGTCTAGCCCAGTGACCTAATGTTAGAAATTGCGTCATGACACTTTCCACTGACAAAAAAAAAAAAAATTACATAGATAAAGCCTAATGTAGATATTATTATTATTATTATTATTATTATTATTATTATTATTATTTGAAACAGCAGTGGGCGAGATAAGTAAGGCTTGCGGAAAATAGACTAAGGCCAATATATCTATCATCACAACTTGTCTGTTAGCAGTAATCAAATCCAAGGTCATGTAACACATTGCGTCATAATCGACATCAAAATGAAAATGTTATAAGAGACGACATTAAATTTTACACAGAAATCTGAGCGCGCAATAATATGGC